TCCTCTCCCTTCAGTCCCTCTTCCTCTCCTTATTTACAAAAGCTTTGTTTCCATTTTTCTCTTCAATTCACCCCCCCATTCACCTTCCCAGCTAAACATTTTACTTCCTCTTTCCCAGTATTTGTTATACATTTTGGTCCTTATTTACTCTTTAAGGATCAAAATATATAACAATTCAATATTTAAATGTGTGTCTAATTTATTTCACTAAATAGTATGGTGTCAAGTGCATCCATTTATCCAGAAATGTCTCAAGTTTATCTTTGTTTATGGCAGAGTAGTACTCCATTGTATTTTTAAAAATAGACATCTTCTGTATCCATTCATCTATTGATGGGCATTGGGGCTGTTTTCAAGACTTAGTTGTTACAGACTTGCTGCTATAAACATGGGTGTGCATTTATTACTGCAGTATGATGTTTTTAATTCTTTTGGGAAGATACCAAGAAGAGAAATAGCTGGGTCAAATGAAACCTCTGATTCTAGGAATTTTGAGAAATATCCACACTGATTTCCACAGTGGTTAATACTCTCACCAACAGAGGACAAGAGTTTCTCTCCACTGCCCCAACAGCATTTGGTGTTGGTTGATATCTTGATAACAACCATTCTTTCTGGAGTGAAATGGAATCAGCATTGTTTTAATTTGCATCTCTCGAATAAAGAGTTATGTTGAATATTGTTTGATATTCAACTGAGACATGTCCATTCATTGCAGATGCCCATTTTTTATTGGGTCTTTAGATTTGGAGAAATCTGGTTTTGTTATTTCTTTTTATATTCTAGATATTAGTCCTTTGTCTGAGGCACAACTGGAAAAATTTTTCTCACTCTGTGGGTTGTCTTTTCACTCTATTGGTGGTTTCTTTTGCTGTGCAAAGCTTTATAATGAGATGAGATCCCAGCTGTTGCTTCTTTCTAAAATTTTCTGTGTGATCACGGTTTTATTCACAAAGTGTTTGCCTACACCAGTGTCTTCATGGGTTCCATCTATTCTATTATCCAGCTGATACAGTGTTTCTGTTTTAATATTTAGATATTTGATCCATTTCAATTTCAGGTTAGTGCAAGGTGAAGAAATACTCAGTATTTTGTTAGATTATCTTTTCAGAAAACCTATAGATGAACTACAGTCTAGTAAGATAGTTCAAGGAATTTGTGGGTTGATTCTAAAATTTATATAAAATAATAAATGATCAAGAATTGTTTATTTTCAGTAACAACAACTGACTTGTCCCAGCTCATATCTAAACATACATGGTTTTCATAATTAATATAAAATTGGATTGGTGCATGAACAGACAAACTAGTGAAACACAATAGAGTGTTCTTAACTACCTATATAGATAGGAAAATTTATTCAATGGAATGATGGGATTACAGATTGTTGGCTAAAGAATACATCATATAAGTGAAATAAGCCAGGCACAGAAAGACAATGCTGTATGATTTCATTTATACATGGAATTTGAAATACTTAATTCTCATTAGAACAGAGTAGAAAGATGATTACTAAGGGATGGGGTTTGCAAGGGAAAGATGGAGGAAGGGAAGATGCTAATCAAAAGATACAAAGTCTCAGCTTTTATCTATTGCACCAAATACTGACTGTAGTAAATAATAATGTGTGTTTTCAAATATCTAAAAGAATATATTGAAATACATACATACTCACACAAAGTAAGTACTCATCCAATTGCACTTGCCAGGCAGGTGCTTAAAGTGCTGAGATAATCCCCAGCCCTAAGTTAATTGTTTTTATTGCATTGCTTACAATGTATAGATTGAAATATCACATTGTACTCTATAAATATTATATGTCAGTTGAAAGGAAAACAACTTTTAAAAAGAAAACTCAAGAAGTAGCATATTATTGCAAGACCATACAATAAGAGAAATTTTTTCAAATTAACTTTTCAAATACTCCTAGATCCTAAGACAATATTGGGAAACCTCCTGGTACTTAATGAACTCTCTGAATCTTGGATGAACCCAAAGTACTTTAGCATATCTCTTATAACGCAAATTTCCTATGAAGAAGTGACCATGTTGTTATAAGGTTATTGTGGAGAACAGCTAAACCTGGAGATCATTCACATATGTGGAACACCTAAGGTCAGCAATACCAAAAACTGTTCCAGCTCCAAGAACACAGAGAACTGGAAGCAATCCAGACAGGTTGCTACGTGGAGGGATGCCCCTGACATCAACCTGCTGAATGTATAAATAAATGTGCTACAGTCATTGAGCAGTTCCTTTCACTCATCCAGAGAGAGGACTCCACCTGATCTCAGCTTTCTGTTTCCTGATTCATGTCTTTATTTCTTAATCCTCTATCACCCTTCACTCCAAGAATTTTGAGAGCTGCACTGAATGTGGCATATTGGTGTCTGAACACGGACTTGGAGTATGAAGAAATAGCGGGTAATGGAACACCTCTGAAAGAGTGTGTATGAACAAAAACAGGCTCAAGAGAGCATAGAGGAAAGAGGTATATTGATACTGATTTCATCAGGTTTAAAACACGGGATGATTTGTGTTGTACTCTAAGAAAATAGCTTCCTTACATGTGTATTATAGCAAACCTACAATGTGGCTTACTAAATGTGTTTTTTTATCCATTTTCCCTAACTGATATGTTAAGTGACCTAATTGATATGTTTAGCAATACTCTCCTCTGTAAAGAATTGCAAGAATCTCACCTAATTGATATGTTAACCATTGTTGCCCTCTACAAACTACAGAAATTGTGCTAAAACAAGCTAACAAGGGTTGTTTATCACTGTTTGGCACCTCTATTCTCCACTAAAGAGCTAAAGAAAACTGGGATGGCCCACTAATTTACACTTGTTTGAAGTAACTTGCTTGTGTGCAGAGAGATTTGCGTATGAGTTTAACCCTTTACCTGACCTTGATTCCTTTCCCAGAAAGGCACCTTCTCCCCTTACCTATCTATCTAGGCTAGGCCATAAAGAATTTGGGTTTCTGGTGACCTCTTCCCAACCTGGTAATGATCTGTCATAAAATGAGCCTGCCCCAATTTTAAGAATTGTGTAGCTTCATAGAAATTACCGGGAAATACTATGGCCCAAACCCCAATCGGTGCTTTCCTTTTGTTCTGTATGCATCAAATGAATTAGATATCAGATCTTTGTAAAACTTAAGTTTCAGCTTCTGGTAACTCTTGAAACCTTCGCACCCACTAGTGAAAATGAGCCATCCTGGGATAATTAACTCTCCACTTTCTTCTCCAAATATTGCTGCAGATGTGCCACTCTGAGCTAATGTCAGTCTGTAGGATGGGAGTAATATGAGAAACACCAGGAACTCCCGAGATTGTCAGAGCTAAGTGGACAACAATACAGTTTCCAGATTCGGGTCAACAAGTTTATGGCTCTGCAGGTTTCTTTGTTTCTCCCCCCGCCCCTTTTCCTCCAGCTTCTTTTTAAAGTCCTCCCTTCAGTCTCTAGCACACAGTCTCCAAATTAGCTCCTGGAGACTCGTCGCCAAGCCTGGAAATAAAGCCTTTGCTACCTAAATTGTCGGTCTCTTGCTTTCTTGGATTTTATACCGGGGCCTGAGTTATAACAATTTGTAAATAGAGAGGCTTGTTGTACTGTTATTTCTGTATTCACTTTTTTCTGTGGACTTGGATTAGGGAGTGTCTTCATGGTCATACACTCATGGAGATGACCATCGAGGATTTTGGCTCAGAGCACTATTTTAAAACTAAATCCTGAGCAGAAAAAGATTGTGGGGCAACAGCCTTATCCCCACCAGCTTAGGCCCTCTTGCTTTGCTCAATCATATAGGGAAGGAGCTGTGGGGGACAAGAAAGGCCTTTCCCCATTAGAGTGTTTCACTTAGGCTTTGGTTTTATAGCCACCCAAGGTAAAATTGATAACCTTAACTGAACCACAAGCATATAATTCTCCCTTTTCAGTTCAGAGAAATTTTGCTGCATCACAGGTTGAAATTTTCATCTTCCTCCCTTGCAAATGCTGCTAGAGCAGCCCAATGTGAAAAGGCGCGCATGGAGGGATTTCAGCATATCTACTCTGTTACTGAACTCCAAGGCCCCAAATAATACATCTTCATGAAGCTGTGCACTTTAAGACATTAAAAAGAGTTAAAATAAGCTGCCATTATCTATGGCCCCATGAGCCCTTTTACTTTCGGTTTAATAGAGCTCCTATGACTACATGTTATAACCCAAATGATTGGAAAAAAATAGCTAAAGCATATTTGAGTTTGGGAGATTATTTATTGTGGAAGGAAATGTTGTTGATTTGTATACAGATCAGGGTACTTACACAGCCAGCTCAGTGCAGCACAATACCATTAAGGGGCATGGGCCAAGCAGAGAGAGGGCCCTGTGCACTGGCCCTAGGCAGACTTATTCAGGGTCTCAGGCCCTTTGTGTGCCCCACTCAGTTTAGACCCCAGGAGCCATACCAGCCCAAATTGTAGGAGAAAAAAGTTTTGTTTTGTTTTGTTTTTTTTAAAGGCAGCCATAGCTGAGCATTTAGCTCAGTGGCATAAGTGCCTGCCTTGCAAAAGTGGGGTTGTGAGTTTGATCCCACACCATATTAAAAAAAAAAAAAAGGCAGCCATGACTGCAGAGGCAATGACTGTAGTGTCCTCTAGGAAGTGGGGCATGAGCAAACCCAGCCTGGGCTGGAGCCCATCCTGACAGTGTGGCAGGCACTGATTCCCTCCTGTCCATCAACACCAAAACATCGGTGCCAAACTGTGAGGCTTAGGGGCAGCAGTCTTCCCCTCAGGACGATAAGCCATTACAACTGTTGCTACCATGGGAGATCACCTGTAGTCCTGAGGCAGCAGGGTGGGAGCTACAGAGTTGGAAGCAGCAGGCAGGAGCCCTGGGTACCCAAATAAAGGATACATGGTTTTAATTTGTTCTTCCCCAAAAGCCGGATTATAGGCTTTTTAATGGGCCTTGCAAGATTTTATATCCATTCCAATTAACCTCTTTTCAGATGGATGTTATGTTTGTGGTGTGATGAGCCATGTCAAAATTGCCACTACAGGCTGGAACTGAGAGGAGCCAACCCACAAGCCAACTAACCAGCCTTTTTAGTGAGCTGTGCAAGCCATGTGGGGCCCAGAAGGAGAAAAGTCAACACCTCTGCTGAGCCTACTGGCACACGGGCTGAGACTCACACTCCCATCCCCCACCCTGGTAAGCAACAATCTGGTTTGGAGGACAAATGGAATTGGTGGCAACTGAAGTACAAGGAGTAGCTGAGTGCTTGTATTGTTTGGTTGACTTTGCAATCCTGGGGCCAGTGGTCTGAGCATCTATAGGGAGGGTAGCAGTGTGCAGTGTAGAAAATATGGGAGATTTCTTTGTATCTTGTTTTTGAAGTCCAATATTGTTCTCACTGTTTTGTTCTGATTGTTTTGCTTTATTCAATATTCTGTTTTGATTGTTTTTATTCTGTTTTGTTTGGGATTGATTTTGCTATATCTGATGGAATGGACAACTATTGTGAAAATAACAAGATGTACTATTGTAGCAACTGTTGTTTTCCTATTGTCCTGGTTTGAAGTTCTGTACCAATTTCACTGCTTGGTTTTGACTGGATTTATTCCATTTTGTTTGTTGGGTTTTATTATCTTTGACATAAAATAAAAAGTAAAATAAAATTGTCACAACACACACTGGCCAAAATGATCTTTTTCTTTTATGTCACATTTTCCAATTTGCAATTCAGTCATGCCATGCCCCTTGTTTCATTGGTCATTTATGTTCTCATTACCAATTGCCAGGGAAATGCAACAATAGAGATTGCTGGCTACTGTCACTGTTGCTCCCTCAGACACCATTCAACAGGCTTCTGCCTCCCATGCTACCTTCCATCAGGATGCTTCTACCTCGCACAGACATTTCCTTTTAACCTAGGAATAGTCTTAACAAATTGTTTAACACTACCTATGGGGGTTAATCTCCAATGCTTACATCTTAATCATCTCCGGCAAGTGAATGTAATTCACATTCCTGAGTTTGGCTATTTACACTGGGTCCACATTTCAGTAGATACTTCCTCAGGATTTATTTTTGCTTCTGCCCACACTGGTGAAGCAGCTAAACATAAAATAGTCATCGCCTTGATGCTGTTAGTGCCCTTGACTGCTGCAGGCACTTAAGACTGACAATGGCCCAACTTATAGAAGTGCTGCCTCCAAAACATTTTGTAAAATATTTCATATTTCCCTTACCATAGGAATTCCTTATAATGCTCAAGGTCAAGGAATTGTTGGATGTGCTCACTACATGCTAAAAGCTCAACTACAAAAAAATCAGAGGAATCCTTCCCTATAAAATTTCACACCTCATAATAGACATTCTTGGCAGTATATACAGTTAACTTTTTAAATCTTACTAGGAATGGAACTAGGTAAAGGAAAAGAAGCTAGGAAGTACCCTTTGGAAAGATCTTCATTTTGGACAATGGTAGGAGCCAGCTATGTGCTAATTTGAGGTTAAGGGTATGCTTGTGTCTTTCCAGAGGACATTGAACAGCCTATCTGGGTACCAGAGCATGCTGTCTGGCTGTATAGTGGACCCAGACCTGGAAAAGGAGTTGGTTCCACCTTTCAAGAAGTTGATTTTCCTGTGGCTTGATGCCTCAGACACTACATCACAACTGATAGGCAAGGGGATGGGTCTAAACCCAACCTGAGGATAATTAAAGAGATTGAGCTGGGATGCCCAGGAGATGGCAACTAAAAATGGGAATCAGAGGTCTGAGTAGGTGATAAGAGTATAGAGAAAACTGAGCTGAAAACTACATGAAAGAAAGGGATATGAAAGTTTCCAGTATTTTTAAGATAAAACAAAATACAGAAAATATATTGTCAGTAAAAGATTTTACTCCTTCCAAATTCTTCTTGTACTCTCTGTAACTGACCGAAGAAAATCTGACTAGATTATTTATAATTGCAAACTTCCAAAATTGTAAAAGTTATTATGATGCAATTTAGCAAAATACATTTGGGCACACTCATATTGTAAGCAGAATGTCTATATTTTTGTTGCTTTGGTGTATCTGTGAATAACTTTATTTTTTATTTGAATACAACAATTTTTTTCTTTTCTTTTTCTCTTTCACATTTATAGATCATTTGTTTAAAATTTAATTTGGGTTATATTTCCAGCTGGGTTGCTGGCTAGTCATTGTGGTATCAAAATTGGTTTTCTCAGAGGTTATCAGAGATGTGTTAAGGTAACTAAATGGAAACCCTTCAGCTTGGGGAATTATTGGTCAAGGGTCCCTCTGAAAAATAAAGAAGTGTATGCCTCTAGGTATTTGTCCAGTTATTGTTCATCAGTAGGAAGTACCAATGATCTCCATACCCTTATGGGAGACACACCAATAAAAGTTATTAAAAATATATTATTGGGATATGTTTACATTGGTCATTGTTAAAAGATTAAGTTTTCTAAACAATAGGGTTTTATTTAAAAATGCTGTGGTTTAAAGGATTTCTTGTTGCTATGATGATTGTTATTAATCTCATAGTGTATTAACTGTATTCATGCCTTCAGATGTATAGGCCTTCCAAAATGTTAAACAGGGATTGTTTGAGGTGATAGATGTTTATTTCAGATTTAGATCTCTACCTTTAACAAAAGCTTATGTGATGTATATGCTATTTATGCACCTATATATTTAGAGATGCTAGACATTATACATTCCAGATGATGCCCCAAATTTTTTCAATGACATTCCATTAAAGGTCAACAAGTTAGGGACTTGGGATATAGTTTAGCAGCATAGCACCTGCCTGGAAATCATAAAGTCCTGAGTTCAATTCCTGATACTCAGGGGCACAAAAAGGATAAACAGGTTATATAAAAGCTTTTTATGTACTAGATAAAGATTATTGACTAAAAAGGCTATTTTATGTTAAAATGGAAATTTAGGTGTGTTACAAAAATGTCATCAAAATTGTCATGTTACAATATTATGTATGGCTTTTGATTTCAAGTTTTGTGTGCAAAACTATATAACTGTTGTCTGTTAGCATTCTACAGGAATCCAACTACCAAAACATCCATAACTGATAGGAGCTAATGGCTCTATTTTCAATTTCAAGGTGCTTTAGAATCAAATAAAATTATAATAGTTAAGTTCACTGCTCCAAATATATTGTAAGATCATTAAACTTCTCTTTTGGGTGTTCAACAACTGAGGTTTGGAGACCAAAACCTAGAATGATAGATGGGTTAGGAGGACAGCCAATATTTTGGCTCCAGCCTTGGAAGATCAATAAGAACACAACACATGAGAGAAGTCTTTAGCAATATCCTACAACTCTGGTGAGTTATACAAACTCTGGACTAAGGAGATTGTGGGACCACAGCCCAAACTGATCAACAATGTATAGTGTGCCTAAGGGGAGTCACCAGGAGAGAAAAACCTCCCATGCTTTCACAGAAAGCAACTTGGTCACACAATAACAGTGACTCATCCAGATAGCAGACACTGACAGGAGAACTGAGAGGTGATATAGATGGTTCCAAGGCAAATACTAAGGAGACTTAACTGACTTTATAGCTAGCAAAAAATAATTTTATTTTTAAATTAAAAATAAAAGACAGAATGAAACAAAAAATGAATAGAAGAAAATAATAAAGATCCAAAAACACAAACTATCAATGTAGTTTTTCATATAGATTAACATTTTGATTCTTAAATTTTTGTAAAAATAAAAGACTCAGAATAGTCTAAACAACTGTGACAAAGAAGCAAAATTAGAGCTCCAACCCTCCCCAGTTGCACAACTGATCAAAAATTTGCACCAGTCATGACAAAATGGCATTGATATCAATATAGACAGATCACCAAGTACCAATATGAAGTCCCAAAATAGATACCCACATGACAGACACTTGATTTCTGGCAAAGATGCAAAAGTAATTAAGCGGAGAAAGGATTGTACCTTCAATAAATATACTGAAACAACTAGATATCCACATGCAAAAACCCAGATCTTATAGTACATTAAAAATTTCTTAAAACACCCAAAAGTGAAATCAAAATGGCTCACAGTGGGTTAGTAAAGTGAAGGCAGGTGTGGCCTGGGTCATTGCTTGGCTGAAGTAATTCTCTCTGGGACAAAATACATGTTTTTTTTTTCTTATAATACTAATGAAACAATGTGATGATTATGCATATGTGACATATTTATTTCACTAATAATTATATTTTCAAGGTGCACCCATCTACCTATAAAATGTCCAGTTTATCATTCTTTATAGATGAATAGTATTCCATTATTAGGGAATACCACATCTTTTATATCCATTCCTCAGTCAGTGGGCATTTAGGTTGTTTCCAAGATCTGGCTATTATATACTCTGCTGCTATAAACATGGGTGAACATATATTGCTGTGGTATGTTTATAATTCTTTTGGGAAGATACCCAGAAGGAGAATAGTTGGGTTGAATGGGACCTCAAATCAATTGAGGAATTGCCATGCTGATTTCTACAGTGGTTGCACCAGTGAATGCTCCCACCAATAATGAAGGCGAGTTTCTCTCTACTGCCCCACCAGTGCTTGGTGTTGGTTGATTTCTTGGTAATAGCCATTCTTTCTGGAGCGACGTGAAATCTCAGTGCTTCTTTAATTTGCATTTCTCGAATGACCAGTGCTGTTTGACTTTTTTTCATGTATTTATTTTCTGTATGTACTTCTTCATCTGAGAGGTGTGTTTATCTCAGATGCCCATTTTTGGATTGGATCTTTAAATCTGGGAGGATTGATTTTATTGAGTTCGTTATATGTTCTCAATAACAATCTTTTATCTGAGGAACTGCCGACAAATATTTTATGCAACATAATGTGTTGTCTCTTCACTCTGTTAGTGGTTTCTCTTGCTTTTAGTAGGATGAGAACCCATTTGTTGATTCATAAAGTCTTTTCCTATATCAGTGTCTTCAAGAGTTTTACCTACTTTGTCTTCTAGCAGATTTAATATTTTATATTAAGATTTTAATATATTTTTATTTTAGCATAGTATATGATGAAAAATATGTGTCAGGTTTTAATCTTTGGCATGTGGAAAGCCAGTTTTTTGACCACCATTTATTAAACAGACTATCTGTGTTCTAATTAATGTGTTTGGCATCTTTGTCAAAGATAAGGCAGCTTAGTGTGTCTGCAGTTATTTCTGCATCTTCTAATCTATTCCACTGATCTTGTGGTCCATTTTTTTTGCCAGTACCACACTGTTTTATCACAGAAGCTTTACTGTATAATTTCAAGTCAGGGATTGTGATGTCCCTGGTCTTGTCCTTGTTGCCCAGGATAGCCTTTGCTATTCTAGGTCTCTTTTGATTCCAGATTAATTTGAGGATTTTTTCTCTAATACTGTAAGATATGTTATTTGGATTGCATTGAACCTGCTTAACACTTTTGGAAGTATGGCTATTTTCACAATATTGATTCTTCCTACCTAACAGCTTTTTCTAATATCCTCATCAGTCTCCTTTTTGGACTACTATAGTTTTCAATGTAGAAGATTTTGTATATTTTTTGTTAGATAAATTCCTAGGTATTTCATTTTTTGGATGTTAATTTAAATGTTATAGTTTCCCTGATTTTTCTCTCAGAGAGTTTGTTATTAGTATACAAGAAGGCTATTTATTTT